TAAAACCTAGAATTAAAACTAAATTGATTATAAAATTTATTTACAAAATTAATGGTTAATGATGCTTATAATAAAAATATTTAATAATAAAAAAAGAGAAAGGTCTATTTTTTGGTTATTGTGAAAAAGAATTAAATTAACAACCTAAAATTAAATCTAAATTAATTATGGGATTTATTTACAAAATTAATACTAAAATAAAATATTTATTATTTTTATCTTTTCTGATTTTTTTTGTGTTTTTATATTATATGAAAATATTAAATTAAAGCATTTAAAAAAATTAATTAAAACAAAGAAAAGAAAAGATATAAAAAAAAAGTTAAAAAGAAGCAAACTGGAGGGGGGTGTTGTCCAAATAGGGAGGTGAATTTGATGAATTCTGGCCCAATAGAAGGAGCCCTTTTGCTGACTTTTGGATCACATGTGGAGCGTTGACTGGAGCATTCCATGGACCTCCCATTCTGACCTTCAGATGCTTCTTTCAAGACACTTGGCAAGCCTTTGTATTGGGTGTATGGTGAACCTTTGGAACGTGCACTGCATTGGAACAATTTAAACAAAATAATAGAAATGAAATGGGGGGACCTGGGATTCGAACCCAGGTCCCAGTACTTACCAACCAATGCCTTAACCAACTGATCCACCAACGCGCTTTGTATATCATATGAGAAACAAATAATATAAAATAAAATGGTCATTAGTGTTATAAAAAATAAAAAAAGCGCGCTGGATTCAAACCAGCCATTCACAGCGTGACACACAATCATCTTCTCCAATGCACCTGTAATGAAAATGAAATAGCGGGGGTCTTAAACCCCCCCAAAACTCAGGCTATTTGAAAATAGCGAATAGGCCATGCCTAAACATAAATTGAGCGCGACAAGCAAATTGGAATCCTCAGGTTGCCACGATTTCGTTCATGCTGGTGTCAAAGTCCAATTTTACCTCATAACCAAAGCCCTAATTCTAAGTTTCAAGAAACCTAGTTTTTGTTCATGGTGAAATCGTGCACAGGCTTGGAAAACCCAATTGAATCATGCTAACAGCTTCAGAACAATCATATTAGTCCAAATCCATGATAAAAAAATGATAAATATGGCATGAATATTGAAATGCGAATACCAAAAATTTCAAGGAAAGTTGGACTTGGTTATACCTGTTCTCGGCGTTTGAAGGTCTGAATTTGATGGCTATAGTTTCCTTAAGGTGTCAGCAACTTGTTTGGATGAGAATGAGAGGTTGAAACGGGCTCTAGAAGTGTTTTCAGTTTTCAAAAATCTTGGCCAAAATGCAAGTTTGCTCTCAATGTTCCTGCGCAGCTTTTGTCCCCATTTGGTTTCTGATCACTTGTATATACCTTAGGCAATGTGTATGAATGAGAATTATGGCCAATAATGCCTTGCATTGATGCCTAGGATTTTGACATAAACCTCCATTAACACACCTTCCATTTTTGCCTCATTTTGAATTCTTGCTTCAATTAACCTTTTCCACGAATTTGGCATCTGTTTAAAGATGATTCAAGATCCATAAAAGTCAAATATACTCTTTTAATTAGGCTTTTTGATTTTCCATTGATTTAAAAGATTTAAAATTAATTAAATCTAATAAAATCAATTAAAAATGAAAAAATTAATTAAAAAAATTGAAATAAAAGATGGGACACGTGGGAAGCATGGCCAAGCTAATTCAAGTGGAAAAAGTGGGCCCCTTTTGTCAAAAATGAAATTCCAAGGATAAATGATTTTGGCCATTTTACAAAAATTTCCCAACTTCTCCAATGCATATCTTGCTCAATTTTTAAGCTTAGATCATGTTCTTGGACATTTTAGAAAGGTCTTGAAGTCCTCTAAACAATGTCCTTGGTCCCATGTCATTTTGATTTACCAATCTCAAGTTATGGTCTTTGACTTAAAGTCCCTTTTTGTTGACTTTTGAAAATGACCTATAATGTTGAAATTGATAACTTTTTGTGAGAGCATTTCTTGGACTTGGAGTGTGAAGATGAGTTGTAGGAAATGTCTCCCCCTTCAAGATGAGCATTGGATGGGATTTTTCTGATGAACCATGAAAAAGTTATGCCTTGGTCAAGTTACATTTGACTTTTCAGCTGTTCAAAAATAGAAACTTTTGCATCTTGATGATTTTTGAGCCATACTTTTGAGAATCATGATCAAGCATTGATTAAATGATGTTTGTGGCTTCAAAATAAGATGTTGACCAAAAATTTGAACTTTTGACTGTCAAATGACTATTTTGCCCCTACAGTTGACTGTAGTGCAATTAGGGTTTTTGACTGTGCAAATTTGTGCTGAAAGTCTTGAAACTTTGATATGAGGATGCTTGACCATATTTATAGGCATGTGGGACTTGATTGGACCCTTGGAAACTTCATTTTCTTGATCAGAACCAAAACCCTAATTTTGACTGCTTAGGAGGCCCTTGAACTGTGCAACCCTTGGGGAATTTTGAGGCTTGGCTTGGCAATTTCTTGGAGAATATGGGAGGGCAAATTTTGGGGTACAACAATATATATATATATATATATATATATATATATATATATATATATATATATATATATATATATATATATATATATATATATATATATATATATATATATATATATATATATATATATATATATATATATATATATATATATATATATATATATATATATATATATATATATATATATATATATATATATATATATATATATATATATATATATATATATATATATATATATATATATATATATATATATATATATATATATATCAGAGAAACAAATTCACCTCAATTGAAAAACAAAATTGAGGTGAAAAGTAGCATATTTTTAGATTAAAAAAATAATGTGGATACTAAACTAGTTTTCCCTCGGTTTTCATAAAAATCAATGGAATAAAATAAAATATTCAGAAAGACACCACTTTTAATGACATAAAAACATAATCTTAAACTTTTGGGATTTGAAACATATACACTGAACTAGTTTACCCCTTGTTTTCATAAAAAAACTGATGAAATAAATAAAGATTAATTCTTACAACACTACAAAGAGTGTGTGTGTGTGTGTGAATGTGTGTATACATATATATATATATATATATATATATATATATATATATATATATATATATATATATATATATATATATATATATATATATATATATATATATATATATATATATATATATATATATATATATATATATATATATATATATATATAAGGCCTTTTTGAACTATCAGGTCTTTCTATTCTATTTTAGGTTTTTTTTTTCTTTTATTATGACGCTCTTCTCAAATTTATGGTTATTCAGTCCCGTCATATCTCAAAAGTTCTGGGATCCTTAATGTAACAATCTTTTCTTTTTACAACTTTCTTTGCTCCATTATTGTATTATGGGTATGATTGTTATAGGAAACCCAGAGGCCGCAATTTCTCCTGAGGAGGATAGTTCCCATGTTGGCATTGACCTCTAAATAGATTCTAGAGGCTTTGCTTATTAGTATGGTTGTCGTGTGCTTGTACTTATTGTTGTTATTTTTTTCTTTTTGACAACAAGTAATGGATCAAGATGATCAAAAAAATGGTGATGCTCCCTAGGTCGAAGATCAACTTGTTTGAGTGGATCAAGTGATGTTGGATATAGTTTCTATCTTTATTGATGAATGGGGTTTAGATAACATCATCACTACCCTTCCTATGATGTCACCACTTGAAAGTGTTAAGAGGTTGTGCACTTAATACATGGGATGCATGCTCTCTCTACGAATGTCTTTTCTCTGAAATAATTTTCCAACTTCCCTTTAATGATTTTGAGGTAGGGGTTATTATTCATATGGGGATTGATCATTCAAAATTACACCTCGTGATTTGGTCTTATGTTAAAGTTTTCCAATACTTTTGTGAATACAAGAAATGTGATTAGACTTTGACACTCTTCTTCCATCTCTTCAACACCTAACGAACTTTGATGAACTCAGACCAAAGTCAAGGTTTGCTTTATCTTAGGTAGGGAAAAAGATGTTTGAGGTATATATATATATATATATATATATATATATATATATATATATATATATATATATATATATATATATATATAAATTGAATAATTACAAGGACATATATTACTTGGTCACACCCCTAACCAGTACTACTCACGAGAGTATCTACAAAATTCAGGTCAGTGTTCCTCAAGGTGTAATGACAAGTTCCCTAACATTTGCGCCAAAGCCACTTCCTGGAAAAACCGGGAACATACATATATATGCTCGATGATTTTCGGAGAAGAGAAATATCTAAAGAATAAGTTTATTGATTTCTAGGAAGGATTCAATTTTTTTGACAACTTCATGTCTTCTAGCGCTACATTCAAAAAATAAAATAAGTGGTACATTGAAAATTGTATGTTAGTGGAAGCGACCACCAAAGAGAAGAGGTGTAACATCTTTGGTAAGGATGGAGACATCTTATGTATATTTGGTAATTTTCTATCGAGAATACTTATTAACTTTTACCTTTCCTTGACTTGTATTGCAGATAAGATGAGATGCCTAAAGATGATGCTTTAGATGAGAATAGCATTGAGGAATATTCCATCACCATTCATTATTGGTATGGTTCATCCTCTGGGGGAACAATAGTCTCCTAGAACTTAGACTTCTCCAAAATGGACTCACATTGCTAAGGACGACGCTTACGGGGAGTTAACTTCCTTTATAAAGATACGAGACATTTTCTCTTCACGGTTTCCGTGCACTCCTGATGAGGTTGCTATTATTTTATCGATGTCGCATTTATCCTTCATCTAGAAACTCCATGAAGGGGATAAGATGGAATTGGTTTCTAAATTTTCTGACAGCATGTTCAAATCTGCTTCTATTTTTTCTCTTGTCTCTGCTGGAAGAGGTGATGTATTGGCCCCACGTAGTCCTTTCAAGAAAAGTATATTTGGAAAGGGAAGTTTGAAGCTATGGAGATGAGGTGTACTAATCTCCAGGTGGAGATTGTTAAGCTGCAGGAGGAGGTTAAACCTCCTAACTCTTTGCAAGAGGTGGTGAAAATACACAACTCTCCTTCGGTCCTGGCCGCTCGTGTGACTAAATTGGAGGGCTCTTTTTAAGATACAAAGAAGTTGTACACGGTTCTTTATGATTCCATTGAGTACAAGAATTTTCAGGTGGAAGATTATCGAAAATATGCAGAGGCTTTGAAAGCTCTCCAAGACAAGGTGGCCAGCCTAATACTGGCACTTCATGGTGCTCTTCAACAGATCATGTGGGATGTGCTCGGAGACGAGAATAATTTGAGAAGCATGCAAGGAAGTTATGTCCTGATGTTGTGATTTATACCAAAGCGTTGGACCCATTTAAGTCCGCTTCGGGTGTGACTTAGGGGGGTGGTCCCAGTGCCTCACCTTCAAATGCCTCAGCTTGATTTTCCATTTTGATTTGTATTATTTATCCCCTATAATGTTTCCCAGGCGTATGTGCCTTGGGTGTATCAATTTTGTATGTTTAATGAAATGTTTTACCTTGATGTTTCAAGTATTGCTAGATTTAGAACTTTGTGTCGGCCTTTGCTTTATCATTATCATAATTCATGAATTGTTATAGCTATGAGCTTGTTATCTTTATCTACAGAGTCTTTATTTACTTTAGAATATAGGTTGGACTTCCAACATTCATTGGATACATCGAGACTTCTGCTTTGGGTGTTGCTGAAGTGGTAAACCGACAACCAAAAGCAAGTAAGTATTTAGTTTTATCATATCATCTCCACAAGGATTAGGGCTACTAAATTGTTGTTCCACAAGTCTCGCATTCATGAGTTTGGATTAAAATGGGTTTAAAGTGAATGCGGGAATTAAAACTTATGAACAAAAAAAGAATTCATTATTTGGAGTGTAGAGAACTCTCGGGTTTGCATTTCATCTACCCTATCAAATACTTAAACTTACTACCCAATTCTACTCAACCTAAATCACTCGTCAATATTATCACGTATCTCTCACACAAAGGTTATCTCTAACACAAAGTGAGACAACGACCATATTACTCACGTCAGAACTCTCTCAACGCAACACAAACAACACCGAAGCATTACGCTCTGATACACAAGTGAATACTATGCCTTAATTTGTCTCTAGAATTAAAACACAATAGATGTTCATTCTAAATTCGGATTCGAACTGTCCACTTCTGCAATAACCCAAACCCAAATAAATAAAGAAATCATCAACATCGATTTGGAAAATGAGTTTCATACAACACCATGAGCAATAAATATACATATAATCAAGGTAAAGTTACATACAAATTCTAATAAATAGATATTACAAATAGAAGAGAAGAAGAGAAACCAAACATTTCGTGGTTTATCAACACCAATCGATAAGAAATACGACCTCAGATCATCCAAATGCAAGCTCCATTGTTGTTTTTTAAGCTCTCTAGACCCAAAAAATGAAGGTTGGTGGAGTTGGAAAAAAATACCCCAAAACCGTACCTAAAAAATGTGTGTGTTTTGCCCTTAAAATGTGCTTCTTCCCAGACCGTCTCGACCGGGACTCAAAAGTATCGCCCAGAGCTCAAAACAACATTTTGTTCACGCTTCTGGGTGCATTTTCACGCTTCTGGGTCGCCTCTGGCTCACCCGGCGAGCTCAGAGCGAGGCTGACAGAAAACAGAAAAAATCAACACTATTTCAGCCATAACTTGAGAACTGTAACTCTGACTTGCGCACAGTAAGATGTGTTGGAAAGCTTATTCAATACTCTATCTAACAATGACTAAATATAAATTCTTGAATACTTACAAAAATTATATAAGAATAATTAAACTCAATGATATTTACACAATAAAATAATATATACACTATAACATAAACTATACCGAATGTACAATAAAGTTGAGGTTTATTGACGAAAAGCAAACGAATTAACCCGATAAGTTCTAATTATTCACACTTAAATTTATAATAATTTAGCACTCAACAAACTCTCCCTAACTTAAAACATTGTTTATCCTCAAACAAAGTCAAACAACTTAAAGAAACAAAAGGCGATAATCCAAGAATCACGAATCAACAGATTTTGAAAATGGAAAACAAATGTATGGTTCAAATAAAAAACGTACAACCAAAGTAAATACTTATCACTAAACTACAACGATAACATGAAAATGAAATAAATCCTAAGTACAAAAATAATGTTAAACATTCTAAAACAATACAAGCTCACATTATGAATCACACCTAGCAAAACTTCATCAAGGGACGAAAAATACACAAAGGTGAGAATTTGACACTCATCCAACAATCTTGTAAACAAAAGACTAAATTATGCATTCATCTAAAAATTCACATTGAACATACAAAACAAGAATCACAAGGGCTTTTTAAAGTTATAACGTGGCTTGGTTAACAAACAAGGGGAAATTCCTAAAGCTAATCGAAAGAAAAACTTTCCTAAACCTAAGGGAGTGATCAACTCACAAAGTTCAAGTACAAAATATCAATCAAACTTCTTCCACAATTCCAACTGTTACACCAAACACACCTTACTTATTAACACAATATTATTCTACTCTTTTTGTTTTTCTTTTTCAAAAAAATTTTCAACTTTTTTCTTTCTTTTTCTTTTCTTTCTTTTTATTTTATTTTCTTTTTATTTTCATTTTATTTTCATTTTCTTTTCAACCTCATAGAAATCAACACATAAGCAAACATACATTGCTCTCCCCAACTTGAATTCAACCAACACCAAAGTGTGAATACTCCATACTTTCTAAGGCAAGGCAAAAATTCAAACCATAAATCATGGTTGAGAGTTCAAAAAAATAAAGAATCAACATCCATTCAAATATGTGAACTAAACATTCATAGACAAGCATAAAATTCAAAAATTACATGGACATTTACAAAAAGACTCAAAGGGATTAACAAATGCTCACACACTCACATGGTGAATTGAATATTTGGTTAGGTAGTTGTGCTCAAAATGAAACAAAATGTCTTGATCCTTTTCATGATTTCATACAATAAACACAAAAAAAGATTTAACATAGTAAAATCCAGTTAAAATAAGAAGTGTGGTCTCCAGCATAAATGAATAATGGAAAACTTCCTCACATTTAGGGGTAAAAAGGGACTAAAGTGATTCAATCAAAAAGCAAGTAATGTAAAAGAATGAATGGTGTGAAATTTGTATAAATTATAATTTTCTTAAACATGTTATTCTATAGAAAGCGATAAACGAGTACCTGGCATGTACCAACTTCTAGAACTATCATTACCATACATCCGTAAGTTGAAATGATCAAACTTGGAAAATCACCTCAAAATTCCTCAAGTTATAGACCAAAATTAGAGTCCAAATCATAAACAAAAGAATTAGTAAATACTACTATGTACTAAAATACCTGGTGAAAGTAGATAAACAAATTTAAAAGTGAAAATTGGAAATTTCAAAGTTGGTCCTATTTAAATTTATTTAGTCAATTTCACCATACTACATATACTAAACAATATTGCAAAATAATATAACATGATTGTTTTACGTTGTTAGCTCGACGCATGTTATCTACAAACCAACATGTTGCTCCGGATGAGCCAAATGCTTTCACTCCCGCCTTTCTCTCGTCTCTTTGAACTCTAATCAGAACTACACATCTAACCACACTTTTGGCAAACGTGAAAAGAAACAAATATATACACTATATTCATAAGTATGCAAAACATGTAAAATTCACAAATATGGTAAACATATACAAGTATCAATATAAACAAGTTTCTATTTACACATTATAGGCAATATGGACATTATGTGCAAAACTCAAAAACAAAGAAATTATCACAATGCGATCCAATAAAAACACCAATTCCTAGCAACAACGCCATTTTGTTGAAGCGGTAAAGCGGCAAGCAAAATTTAGTAAGTATTTAGTTTTATCATATTGTCTCCACAGGGATTAGGGCTACTTAATTTCCGTTTGAAAAGTCTCGCGTTTATGATTTTGGATTAAAATGGCTTTAGAGTAAATGTGGGAATTAAAACTTATGAACAGAAAAATAATTCATTCTTTGAAGAGTAGAGAACTCTCGGATTTGCATTTCATCAACCCTATCAAATACTTAAACTTACTACCCAATTATTCTCAACCTAAATCACTCGTCAACATTATCATGTATCTCTCACATAGAGGTTATCTCTAACACAGTGGGACAACGACTGTATTACTCCTCTCTCAGCATAACATAAACAACACATAAGCATTACGCTCTGATACACAAGTGAATACTAAGCCTTAATTTGTCTCTAGAATTAAAACGCAATAGATGTTCATTCTAAATTCGGATTTAAACTGTCCATTTCTGCAATAATCCAAACCCAAATAAATAAAGAAATCATCAACATCGATTTGTAAAATGAGTTTCATACAATACCATGAGCAATAAATATACATATAACCAAGGTAAAGTTATATACAAATTCTAACAAATAGAGATTACAAATAGAAGAGAAGAAGAGAACCCAAACATTTCTTGGTTTGTCAACACCAATCGATGAAAATTTGACCTTAGATCATCAAGATGCAAACTCCATTGTTGTTTTCTAAGCTCTCTAGACCAAAAAATGAAGGTTGATGGAGTTGAGAACAAATACCCCAAAACCATAGCTAAAAATGTGTGTTTTTGCCCTTAAAATGTGTTTCTACCCAGACTGTCTCGCCTGACGCTCAAAATAACATTTTCACGCTTATAAGTTCATTTCAACACTTCAGGGTCACCCATGGCTCGCTCGGGGAGCTCGGGGCGAGGTTGACAGAAAATAGAAAAATTCAACATTGTTTCGGCCATAACTTGAGAACCGTAACTCCGATTTGCACATTGTTGAAAGTGTTGGAAAGCTTATTCAATGATCTATCTAACAATGACAAAATATCAATGCTTGAACACCTATAAAAATGAGATAAAAATAATTAAACTCAATAATATTTACACGATAACATAATATATACACTATAACATAAACTATACCGAATATACACTAAAATTTAGGTTTATTAACGAAAAGCAAACAAATTAAGATGATGAGTGCTAAGTATTCACACTCAAATTCACATTAATTTAGAACGCAATAGGTGTGAGAACCTTAGTTTCTTGCTTAATGGAAGAAACATTGCATTTGATTGTAATGAGATGACGAATATGCCTAAGGAATTTTATTGATTTTTGCAACTCAGTACGTTGAATAATGTAAGCTACCATTTTTGGTTGCTATAATCGTCTGATGTATTAAGCATTTTCAGTATTAGCGTATTGATTTGTATTCCATCTTTGGCA